AAAGCTAGTATGGTAATCTATCGATCACAACCCAGTGTCAAACTCTTTGATTGATTATCTTGGAACTTTCACCGAATCAATAATCCGAAAGTGCCCTTAAATATTCACCGCCCTGTGCTGGCCGTGTGATATTTGCTAAATGCCAGGTAACTTTGAGGGGTTCTCATATGCAAACCCCGCCGTAATTTCCGCTTTTTGCCTCCGGCAAACTGGCCAAGGGCAATCCAAGTGCAGCCAAAGTGAGCGTGAACGTCTGACATTTGCAAGTCGCTTTCCGTGTCTCTCTCGTTCCTCGCATCTATCAATCATTTTGTAATCAATCAACTTCCGTTCCTTAACACGAGTACCAGTAGTTAAAATGTCAACGCTTTCAGACAAGAAAAAAAGGCGCACGAGCGGCAGTTGATTAAGAAATTATACTCATCGACGGCAAAATGCAATGATTGGAAAACCAACAATTCCTTCTTCGAAATGAACGCAGGCGGAAGTGGCAGACATTAATATTTCCCTCAAGTTTTCTCTTTCTCGCATATTTTCCACATCTTCCTCTGCTTTTTGTTTATGCCAAGCTGGAAAATGTGCCGTCATAAATAAGAGCACGGAAACACGAAGAAAAATTATTATATTTTGAAAATCTACATTTTATGTCACAAATTTGGTATGGTGAGAAAAAAACTCGGTTAGTTTTGGGGTGATATTGTTCATATTTTTACATCATAATTAAAAATTTGGAATTTAAAGTGTATAAAATAACATTAAATTACTAAGTTTTGATTATAAAGCATTATACTAGATTTAGAGATTAAGAATATAAAACAACTCTGTCATTTCCCTCAGTGAAAGACATAAAAAATTTAAACTTTTTTGGGGGAAGAAGAAAATGTAAACAAAATTGGGGCCACGTTGGGTGGGGGAAAACACACGCACCCGCCCACATCGATGGGAGATACTAAATGCTCTATATGCATATGGCTAATGGATATGGGACCTAAATGGGACTCGCATTATGGTTGCCGTTGTGTTTTACGGCTCCTCCTCGTTCCTCGCTCCTCACTCCCCATTCCAGTTGAAATCGAAAAGCGACGACTGCGGACTACTGACTCATTGACAAATAGCATTGAACTGCAGGCGTTGTCTCGTGGTCTGGTTTTTCATTCATGCCAGCACTCCCCATTCTGCCACCCAGAGCTCGCCAGTGCCCACATGCGTGAGTACATATAGCGCTGTACATATAGGCACCATATATTTATAGTACCGAGTATCTGACTATCTGGCATTGTGCAACGGCCGGCTGAATGCATTTGCCAGACCAGAGAGCACCAGATTCGATTCGAGTCGACCTGGGTGCGAGTAAACAACGTTTACCCACCGCAGCACACACTGCGTATGCGTAATATCGATTTCCTCAACTCCAAAACTCCCCCAGCTCGCCATCCCTACGACAAACAATTCGAAAACTCTAACAGAAAAGAGCTACGGTGCACGGAATGCGGCTGAAGAATTTATGGGCCGAGAGTGATTAAAAAGGCATTGTGGGGCTCGGGAGTGGAACGGGATAATGGGTAAAAATGTAAAGTCAAATAGCTTTCGAATTCCAGGCCCGGGAAACATATGGACGTTTAAAGCTCTAAAAAATGTGCTGTGTTTGAAATACTTTTAACATTGTTGTTATTGAGAAATGAAGCGGGCTCATCGGGATTACGACATCTAGGCCTTGTTGGAGCAAACGGAGCAAAAATTGTAAGTTATTCGAAAAAGAAATTGATTTTTTTTAGAATTTTTAAGTTATTTGAAAAATTTAATTGAATTTTTTGATAAATAATTTCAGTTTTGAAAAAAAATTGGATTGAAGTTTCAATCAAGTTTTGTACAAAAATTAAAACTACCAATTTTATATATTTCAAAAGTATTTTGTATCTTTTGAATACTTTGCAAAACAACATACATTTCTGAACACGACACTTTCATATATATTTGTGCAAAACTTAATTTAATTAAATATTAGTTTACCAAAGTTAAATCTTAATTAAAGGTTTGGAATCTCAAAAATCAGTTAAATAATATTTTCGCTGATAATAAAGCCAATGCCTCATGCGTTGAAACGCATACATATGTTTCCTTTGAGTTTCTCCCAAATTCTGAAATACATTTCTAGATTTCCGCGGAAAACTTTCGAAACCGGCGTAAACAAAACCATATAAATAGATATGGGAATAGAAATGCTCGCTCTGCGCCGTGATCCGCTGCATGCATGTGTTCGACTTCCGGCTTGGGGCTCTGCGGAATCCATCAATGGGCCAACCGATTCGCTGGGGACTCGGGGCATGGACTCGGTTTTGGGGTCTGGTTGCGTATCGGGTTCTGCATCCACTGTTCCACTCAAGGGATCTGCGTCATCTGAAACCGCAAATGAATTAAACAAGGCACACACTCGAAAAACGCCCACAGAATGGCAACCCATACAAGGGCTCCCCCTCGAAAACACTTCTCTAACTGTTTTCATGCGGCAAAATAGAAAAAAGCGTAGAAATCGCGCCTACGTCATATCCGTTGGGAGCAAAAAAAGGGGGGAACAGGGGAACCCGGGGCATTGGGGGTTCTGAAGTGGTACCTGTGAATGAATAGCGCTGCGGTTGTGGGTGTGCGCTCGTATCTGAGTGCTCGTTGTATCTGCGGCACTGTTGAGAAACCCAGCGAAGTGAGCTAAAAGTTATTTAACTCACGTTTTGTCTTTTTTTGCGGCTCTTGTTTTTTGTATTTACACACGCAGATAAACAAAGCCAGCGAGAGAGTCTGATAAGCAGGAATAATAAAAGTAGTCTAGAAAGGTTATACATACAATAATTAAAAACAAACAAATAAAAAATAATAATGAATGAGCGGAACAAATCTTTCCAAATGACTCTCATACAACCACATAAACAATTCAAGATAACATTCACAAGATTAAAAATAAATAAATATACAAAATATTTAGTAGGTATACAAAATAATAAGCAAACAAATTCAAATCTGTAAAATATATTTAAAAAAAAAAACAGCTATAAAAAATTAATTGACAAATGTTTTTTCCCAAAACAATGAATTAGCGTATCAAATCGTTCAAAAACTCTATAAATATTTTTCTGATTGTGTGGATGAGTCGATTTAAGAGAAAAAAGTATAATGAAAATATTAATACCCAAAAAACAATGAATGAGCGGAACAAATCGTTTAAACCCCCAAACTTTGTCTCCCTTTTATATGGCTACAAAATTATAGATAATAGCAACAAATTCGGAACACTGTGGGGGCGAGGTTGATGAGTTGATTTAAGTGGGTTGCTGGCTTGGTGGTTCGCTGGGTGCTTTCATTCCAATTCCAGGTGTGCTGATGTTGCCAAAATCCGGTTTTCTAACAAATATGAGATATACTCAAAAGCACTTTTTTGTTTGCTCGCATTTAGTTTACGCTTTGTTCAGCTCAGCAATTTGTTGACGCGCTTTTTCAAGTTTACATTTCCAACGTTTTGAAGGTCGTTTCCACTGCTATTCACGTTTGTTTTTGTGGCTTTGTTTTTTCTTTGTTTTGTGTGAACTCATCAATGAAACAATCTAAACACAAAAGCACTCACAAGTGTGACACAGAACGTGACAAAAAAGTATAAAAAACTATAAAGATACAGATACTGTCGCATTGTATCTGTGTGTGTCTATGAGCCATATGAGGGTAAAAAAGTGGCAAACGAGGGGAAACGATTGCCCGTTTATTATAGGGAAAGTTACCTGTAGCGGTAAATTAATTTTGGGTTCTGGATGGGGTTGTAGGGGGAGGTTACGGTTTCTATGTGGAAGTTACTGAAAGTAGGTTGAGTAATTTAAGGTATAATTAGAAATACATTTATTTCGGAGAGTAAAACTAGTAGTGATTATCAACATGGAAATTACTTAAAACAAGTCTATTATAATAAAGACGCAATATATTGAAATTTCAAAAGTATAGGAATATAGTATGTTCATATAGATTGCACTCATTCTTATCATTGATAGATGACGAAATATTGCTGGCTTACCATCTGTACTGATTGACATACGTAGAATATTTCTGCGAAGCTCACCGAGACAACTAAGACAACTCTAATAGCCGTGACGAATGCCCCTTTCGATGAAAAGCTTATCCCACAATTCCGTGCTACTCAGCACCCCTTGCTACGTGTCTTCCATCTATTCCTCCCGATCAATTCGATGGAACTCAAGTTAGACCAACTTACTCTGAGCAGGAAATAGCTATCAAATGCAGTTTGCTATGTCACTCTGCGGATTGATATCCATGGCCATGGCCGCTTCGCAATCGGTGCAAAAATAGCTTCCCCCCTGGGTTTTTCCTGCCTTCAAACCAGGCTATATAGCTGGTTATTTTTAAAATTCTGCGGAAAGTGCGGATTGAGCCGGCGAAGTGCGTATACCACCCGTTGGCCGGCGAAAAGGTTGATAGTAGCTGAACTCTGCTGCGCCTTCCGTTTCATTCAATTTGCTGTTTTTCGCATTTAATATGCGCCAAGTAGAAAATTGTAAGCTTCCGTTTTGCGTTATGCTGATGAGCAGTTGCCGTTTGCCTTTTTCGATGACAGTTCCCATACCAATCTCAAGCTTATAAATACAGAAACAGCATTTCCGTTGATACGGGCAGTCGCACTTCCGTTCCCAATTGAAAAAGTAGAAAAGTAGAAGATCTCCATTACTCCCTTTAGCTGACTTTTCCTTCTTTCCCTTTTTATGAATGATTCGCTTGCAAGAATTTCACGCATACTTGGGTTAGGTTGGGTTAATAGCAGCAACATGTCGTGTAGGTGTTGCCTTACCAAAGACGAAAGACCGAAAAGCTACACTTGGCCAAGCACAACGAACGTCAAATTCCAGAGGCCTCAAATGACAGGCTGGCCAAAAGAGGCTACAGAGGTTTTTTAGCGCTCAGTTCAAAAAGCATTCTAAAGTTTCCCCTCTCGTTTTTCTATCTTGCAGATGGCTTCTCCAGTTTTCGCCAAGCATTTCCGGAATGGTGCGAGGATGACAACCAGGCGCACAACAAAGAAATGGAATCTAGTCGCAATGTACAGACCGATCAGCTAATGGGTCTTAGGTAAGTTTTACATCTTTATATTGAAGTAGTGATTGCTGGCTCCCCAGAAATATCGGTCACGAATTTATGACACATCCCCAATAATCTTAACTTAAAGTTAAATGAACTTGATTGGGGATGTCCCAGAAATATCAGCTAAAATGCAGTTAAAAGAACTATCTGGTACATCCCCTATAATAAATATTTTTACCACATAGTATACTTACGAGGAAATCTATAGAATTATAATATCACCCTTTATAATGAGTTCCTGGAAAACCTTAAACTAACCTTTGTGCATTTCTATTTAGATCCCTACGCATTTCCACAACGCATTCCGACTCAGCGTGCAGCAGTTCGGCAGAATCGTCGGATTGCGAAAGCACCGGGCACTATCACCACCACCACCATCATCATAACTACAACGAGGCGCCTGTGGAGATAATTCCGGGATTATTGTTCCTGGGAAATGCCTCCCACAGCTGCGACTCGAATGCATTGCAAAAGTACAATATTAAGGTGAGTCCTGGTAACTTTATCCAATTAAACGATTTGCTAACATACTTAATTTACCTTCTCAGTATGTGCTGAATGTGACCCCAGATTTGCCAAATGAGTTTGAGAAGTCGGGCATCATCAAGTATCTGCAAATTCCGATCACCGATCATTATTCACAAGATTTGGCCATGCATTTTCCAGATGCCATACAGTTTATAGGTAAGGCTTTCGAAATAATTGCTAACTGAATGACTTAAATGTTTAGTTCATCTGACTTCAAAGCAGTTTATTTTAACAGCTTGTCTTGTTGATTTATTAAAAATATAAATATATTTTAAAATCTATCTTAAATATACTTATTCTTAAATCTTGTTCAATGATTTTATTTTCTTATTATTTAAACATGGACTTAATAGCAAATTCGTTTAAGAGATGACAGTAAACTTTGTTTTATTATTTTTTTAATGATTAAAGATTATAGATTAACAATACTGAAAATGTGTGCATAAGTAATAACATATATCGAAATCCAATTTTATTCTTTAATACTTTTTGATATTATAATGAAAAGAGACTTGTGACCTGCTTGAAGGCCTATGATATCATCCCGTTCTGCCAATCCCAAGCTAATGCTCTCTTTTCTCCCGAAATCCACAGAGGAAGCGCGGTCCGCCAACTCGGCAGTGCTGGTCCACTGCCTGGCCGGGGTCTCGCGTTCGGTGACCGTGACGCTCGCCTACTTGATGCACACCCGTGGCCTGAGTCTCAACGACGCCTTCATGATGGTGCGGGACCGGAAGCCGGATGTGTCGCCCAACTTCCACTTCATGCAGCAGCTGCAGTCCTTCGAGAGCCAACTGCGCCTGAGTCCCGCGGACGAGCAGGCGATGGACACCAATGTGGGTCTGGTCCTGGCACCTGCATCGGCGACCTCCGGCTCTGTGTCCAATGCCCTGGCGACGAATCCCAGTGTGGTGGCCTCGCGCTGCGGACGTGGCTCCAAGTTCTCGTGCAACTGCATTGCGCCGGACTGCAAGTGCATGCAAACCGGTGGCTTTATGGCCGCCCACCTGGCCAAGGCCACTGGCGTCTCGCCAGACTCCGGCATCGAGTTCGACCGCTGGACCCCGTCAGACACGGGACTCAAATGAGAACAGCTGGGCGGGAAGAGTTTCGTGCTGCCGCCAAGTCAGGAGATCCTGGCAGCGGCCGTCGCCACATCGCCGCCGCCCATTTGCCTGGCGGTGAATCCGGACAACATGTCCCCGGCCAGCACCACCAGTTCGTCCACATCGACCACGACTACGGCAGAGGCGGTCTCCGTGGTCGAGGTGGTGCAGCACCGCGACCAGGAGATGGCCGAGGAGGACATTGAGTCCGGGGGAGAAGACGATGAGGAGGCGGCCTAAGTGCCAACGGCTTTCCCAACTTGGTTCCCACACAAAACACCCGTACGAACACATACATATGAGCCGCTTATTAAATAGGGGTACGAATTCAAACTTTAGCAACATGTACAAAGTCTTGAGGAATACCCAAAGTACACATATTAATTAATACCACGTAAATAAATTAATGTTTAGTACATTTTTAAGGTCGAATGCAAACAAAATCCAATGTTATCCACACGCAAACCAACTACAACTATACAAAAAGAAAGAAAAAATAAAATATATAAAATATATTTATATATACGCAGTGTACATGTTTGTATTTAACTTCTAAGCCAAGTCAAGAGAATAAATATATGAAAGCCGAAACAAGAATAAACAACCTAACTTTAAACTGTTTTTCTAGGCATACAGTTTTATTTTTAGTTTTAAATTTTTACTAAAACTCGAAATCGTTTATAATTGTAAAGTTTGTTAGATGCGGAGCGAATGCCGCGAAAAGACGCCCCTAATATAAATAAACATACCACTTAATTACCGAATGCCAAGTCATATGAGTGTAAAGCGAACTAAATCCCGAATATCGAAGAATTTTTAAAATTGAAAACAAAACAAAACACTAAAACAAAGAAAATAAAATACAACCATTTGCACAACACAAGTAACCACACAAAAACCTTTTGCCAAAAGCGAAACATTTTTTATGGTTTTTTAAAGGGTGGTCTAAAGAGTGTCGGCGCAGACCATACAAGCTAAAAGATTTTAGGAAGGTTTGAGAAATTGTCTAGAATGTAGGAAAAGCCGATTGTTTGTATAAAAGTACATTCTACAAATGAAGTGTTAAAGTTGGAGAACAGCAAGATGGAAATAAACGGAAGATTAATTTGTTATGTAATTGATACGAATAAAGTTGTATGTCAGCTGTTTTCCAGTCAGGCAATGTTGGTACAAAATTTTATCAGGTGAAGTTTCATGAAACAAAATAAAAACCAAACTAAATCTGAAGAAAGGTTTACATGTAAAACAAAACAAAAAGAAACAAGAAGAAAAAATCCCAGAAACTTTTTTGGAAAAATAAGGCTGTGCGCAATATAAAAACAATATATTTAAATGTAGAGAAAAGCAGAGATTTAATACACAATTTGATATAAAAAAGGTTGATATACCAGAATGGAATGGTTAGTTGGATTTATATAATGAAGAACAAATTTCTTTGGCCCAAGGCTAGGATTTGTTCTAGCCAAAGCTCGACTGATTCGATTTGATAGAGATGAGAGAGAAGGCGAAGTGGTAAGTGCAGTGGTCAGAATATTCTAAATTTTAAAGCTCAGGAACTAAGTCCAACCCCTTCGACGGGTTGCAAGAGTGCGACATAGATATGCTTTGGGAAATATAGCACCCAACTCGAGTTGGCCTCACCAGATATACGAGTGCCGAGTCCATAGTACTCCGCATCCGATAACATTCCATATTAACTATGTCCACATTAAACAGTTTTTATTGTAAAATAACCTGAAGTTCCAAAGCGGGACTAGTTTTGATTAGAAAAACGGCTTTATTTAAGCAAACGAATGAGTTTTTAATAGGCAGCTAATTACGGATAGAAGTTCCTGTCAAAAAGGAAGCTTTGCGTGGAAAACCCTACGATTTTGAACGAGCTTTCCCAGCTAAGCGCCAAAAACTGGGTTAAATAACTTAAGCATTGAACAAGTTTAAAATGCCAATTTAATGTTGAAAGCCTCAGTCAGTATAAAATAACTAAGAATACATTTATTAACTATGAACGGCATAGAATACGTGTTTAAAAAAAATGCAAAGTAAAAAAGTCCCAAAAACCCGTAAATACAATTGTGTCGAACGTTTTGCCACTTGATAAATTGAGAAAACAAAACATGTATTACAAAAATGTGGCAAATTCCAATTTTTAGCTGCACAAAACGATCCACTCTTTACAAGCGAATGCAAATGGAATCGAAATTTGGCTGCCAGGCAGCGCATTTGATGCCCAATGCCTCCAAAATGGAGTGGCATGGGCCTAATTGCTGAGATTATTTTCCTCTTTGGTTTTTGCTAGCGTAAGATAACCCATTTTACATATTGTACATCTGAGTGTTGAATTTTTTAGAGAGAAATTTAAGCGACAGTGCCAACAAAAAAGTAAAACTCCTAAATATAAATATATAAAATTTAACGAAAATCGAAATTGTACCTTGAGAAAGTCCAAAACATTTGTGGCAGTTGCACTGAACATCCAGCTGCAACCGAACCGATCGATAAATAGTCAAACAATAAAGAAGATAACCCTTCTGTCAACGTTTAAGGACGAATATTCTATAGCTACCTAGTTGTGTTTTGCACATTTTGTAAACTTTACAACACGATGAAGAAAAACCGAATATCTTATTAAACGACAGCCCCGCAGCGTTATATATAAAATATATATATACTTATACAGGATACAAGAACATAACTAATAAAATCGTTTTTAAAACCCGTGAACAAATTGCAGTTTGACTCAGTATTATTTTGTAAACATTTATTTAAAACAGGTGAGTAAATTAGTCCTAACATGAAACACATAACTAGTTAGAATATTAGTGGCTCTAAAAAGCATTATCCTGGGTGGTTTTGTTCTAGGTTTACAGGAAATGAGTGTTCAGCAGTGATCTTGTTGTTTAAGTTGAAGATCTTGTTATCTTTGGGCAAGTATTTCAGTTTTAATGAGTTTACAAATGATCTAGATTATCAATTATCGCAGTTTTAATACCTTTATTGATAATATTTCGAAATACCAAGTTGCTAAGGTCTTACATGAATATTAATACCCATTAAGTACTTGCGTGCTTCGGTTTTGAATTCGAGGAGATTAAATTATATTTTGAGACCTAAACTTAACCAAAAGACACCACAAGTTTTAAAACTATTTGACAATTTTGTTTCAAAAACAGGGAACAAGGAGTAAATAACTTATGATAAAGTCCAATTAAAATATATTTAAAAATGTGAAAACCGGAACACGCTTGAATATTAATTTTTCATAGAGCTGAGATTCTTTTAGCTTAGCGGCTACGACAATTGACACTAGACAAGGAACAACTGCAAAGTATTGCGCGATCTGATACAATAAATGCTACATTAAACATGACGAGAACGGACACCACTAACACATTATTGTCTTGCTCCAAATCCTTGAATGATATGGAGCTGATCTACAGACCCTTGTTGAAGTAGACACGTTCGGGTACATTGCCTCGAGTTTTCTTCTCGATTTCCTCGAACAGTTCCGGCTCAAAAGTCCGCATAGTCGAAGTATCCAAGGAACATTGCTGCGGGAACAGAGCACAGGCAGTGGGAACCATGAAGCAGAGGCTGAAATGGAGAAAAGATGAGTCAACTTCAAGAAAAGGGTTACTCGATCAAGGCACTTACAAACAGCCAACCATCAGGGTTTGGAATGGGGCGTTTATCCACTTGATACGCCTGTAGGCAGGCAGCTTCTCCAGCCTCTCCATGATGAAAGGCAGTACCAGCATTCCAGGCGCCGCCATCGCAATCCTGGAGACCACCACCTCGCCTATGCCCTTGATGGCTGCCAGTCTACTCTGGCCCACAATCTCGCCCTCCTCGTTTTTCACCTCGATGCCATTCAGTATCTCGTTCTGTCGCATCAGCGGAATGTTGACAAAATTGGCGGCCGCCACAGCAGCAAAGGGCACGAATCTCTGGAACAGCGGAGTCGCCTTCCTCGACCAATAGTTCTTGCATCCAATAGCGGCTATTAGGGCCGATGTCGTGGCCGAAACATATGCCACGCCCAGCTGCGTAACGCTGGTGGGCGAATTGGCATTGCGGTTCGTGTAGTTAACCACCGCATTGAAGGACTGGTTGATGAACTGCCAAAGAACCACGGCGGGCACGGTGCGGTAGAAGGCCAACATGCCACCGGTGATCAACATGCCACCGGGCACCTAAGGGGCGAGCAAAAACACAAAGCAATTAGTTTGAATGGTCAGCAGATATAATATTTAGAAAATCAATTAAAAAACTCTCGAGGCAAACGGAACATTGGCACTTAAAACTGCCATATTGGAGGATTTCATTATCAAACCAGTCAAGGCAATAAAATCTCTAGGGTTTAAAAAAAATTCTATGTTTTATATATTACACTTAGAAAATCATCACACTTTAGAGATACAAAAAATGTCAGTGCGCGGAAATATATTTTTATCAAACTATGTCAATTAGTCCTTCTTCGTATGTAGTATCAATTAGATTCACTAGTTTACAAAAACTAGTTAGTTTCTTTGAGGGCTGCTCTGATATCGCATTATTATACAGTATGATTTAGACAAAGTTGGGATACTTGAACACTCAAAGAATTCGCGAAGCATTTTTTTAATGTTGTATAAGAGCGCAAGCATATAAGAATCTAGTTTTTATCAAGAAACAGTGGTACCATTACTATACCCATACCTTCCCCTTCAAGATTTCAAATTCCGTGCTGTCTAGTCTTGATATCGTGCCCCCTTTGTATTTTTGGCAAGCCATTCACAAGCGTCTACGCCAGACGATGCTATTCTCAGCACCCACGTGCCAAACCCATCACGAGACTTGCCTGAAAACTCATGCGGCCGCAAAAGTTCTGCAGTTCCCCAGAGTCCGGATGAAAGGCGGAGCTGTACAGCTTCATGTTGTAGTGCACTTCCTCCGGCTTCACCTGCGGCGATTGATCGCCTTTCCGGTAGCGCTCAACCATGGTCTTGGCCTCGAGCAGACGATCGCTGGAGAGGACCACGGTGCGGGGATCCGTCATCCAGGCGAAGTACTGGAAGCGCCCAGCAAAGGTGCTGAGATCGAAGAGGGGCTTGTCCACATCGATGAGGGCTAGAGATGTTATATGTTTAGTTGTTTTAGAAGGCAATGAAGTATCTCTGGGAGCTCACAAAAATCTAAGGCTGTCCTAAAGCAACTATACAATCTGTTTCCTGGCATATACTCATGTAAAACTAATTTTAGAAATAAATATTTTTCAAATAATAACCAATTAATTAAAATCTTCATGCTATTCCGAAAAGTATACAACAGTTTTTTCAGATTTTTAAAAAATAATGGTCGATTTTGCTACAACATTACGGTAAAAATAATCTTAAAATTGTGACTTCAAGTTTTTTTCTATCCTACAAATGATATTCTGACAAGTGATTTTTAAACGAAAATTTGTTTTAAAATGGATTTAAAAAAATTTCTTTGTCCTTGAGACTTTTTAAATTTCTGAGGTACTTAAGATTACCATAATTATTTATTTTATTTTTATATTTAAAAAAAAGTTTTAGATATTGGCATAAAAACTTATTTATTGTTGAATGTTTCAATTAAAAGGAATTTATATCTCAAAGATACAATTGTATATTTTTGTAGCTGTGCACTTTGGGACCCAAATTAGCTGGATTTGTGAGAGAACCCCGAGGGAGTTTGGGTTTGTTTGATTCTTACTTGAGACCTGCGACATTTTGGCAGTGGATCGACTTGCTTAACGGTTTGTAACTGCGAGTGGCTTACGTAAGTGGCTCTCAGCTGTTGCCGGTTTATGGCGGCTTGTTGTTGCTGTTTGTGCTCTTGGCCGGATTCTCACATAAGGTGTTTACTTAGGGCCGAGTTAGCATCAAATGATTCCGTTTCGGCTACGCACCTGATCCGCCAGCTGTTCTTTTCGCTTTTTCTGCTCTGTAATGCGGTTCCAATGTTCACTTTTTACTTTTCTCGCTGTTTTTTGGCAATCTTCCAAATTGCAAAAAATTATTTTGTTTGCCGCCCTCTCTATGCTTTCTTTCTTTGCTTGTTTATCCGCTTGTCCCCGTACACGCCGCAATTACCCAATTTAGCACTTCTTTTGTCGAGCAATTTAGCGGATGAATGGCGACCAAATCGCGAATAAATGCAAATTTCAAATTGTTTACGGCGAGGGCGAAGAAGAAGCAGTGGGGGTGGGGGTGGGGGTGGTTTCGCAGTGTGACCGTGCTGGGAATACCAAATGCAAGCAGTTAACAGTGCTGTCATCAGTTAGCTATAAGCAAGCAGTTTACGGAAAATATCTAGATAGGAAGTTTGAAAGAAAAGGAATTTATATAAAAATAAAACAATGAGAGTTAAGTTTAAAATTTGAAAAAAATGTGTCTTTAATTACTTTACATTTACAACATGAATGGTACAAAATTGTTTTAAACGATAAATTTCATTTTATATTTTTGCAATCAGGGCATCAAAATACACTTAAGCTGGCCTATATAATTTAACAAGTTTCAAAGTCATCCCCTATGAATAGTCCTTTTAAAATATGCCTAGAGAGTATATATTGTCAATACATACTTTCCACAGCCTAGAGCACAGCATCACTGATGCCATTCCCAAAGGCAAAATAGCTAGATTCCTTCCTTGGGAAGCCCGACCGACATCACTAATGACCATTCTCGCAGAACGCCGACACAGCCGCACTGTTGTTGCCGTCGTTCTTTTCACTTTCGTTGCGCTTCTCTTCGTTTTATTTGGCAATTTGTGTGTTTAATTAACACCTGTGGTATTGTGCCACCGTCTAGTGGCAGCAAGATGATGCAAATCGGCGGAAAAACAAGAAGCAGAAGCATCAGATAATAATAGAAGCCCAGCAGAGGCTTCCTGTGTTTGTGTGTGCGATTTTTGTCCGCCTGTGTTTGTGTGCGTTTTTGCAAAACAAAACCGGAAAAGCAAAAACACAGACACGAATGCGGATGCGGATGTAGAGGCCCCTGCGGATATTATCCCCCAACACAAAATGCAAATCCTGCAAGTGTTTTTGGGCACGCTCCTTTGCGGCTTCGTCCTGGGCGCCAATATCCTGGCGGTTTTCCCCAGTGTCTGGAAGTCGCACTATCTCTTCGGCCGGAGATTGCTGCAGGAGTTGGTGGAAAGTCCGGGAAACCACTCCGTGACTTTGATCAGTCCGCACGCCGCCCAGGAAAATGTGGATCTGGAAATCCCCAGGATCAGGGAGCTGCGGATCGAGGGGCTGCGGGAGAACTGGCTCGACATGGGCATGAGCTTCGAGGCCGAGGAAATGCGATCGCAGAGTGTGATGGAGAGGTTCACCCGACTGATCTACGCCGGCACCACCAATGTGGACATCCTACTCTCCGATCCCCAGGTCCGGAAGCTCCTAACAAGTGGGGAAAAGTTTGACCTACTCATAGTGGACCTGTTTCTAAGCGATGCTCTGCTAGGGTGAGTTATTGGTTTTACTATGATGATCTTATAATCTTATGATCTCAATTCTGTTCCTACAGCTTGGCCTTCTACTATGGCATACCCACCGTTGCAATCAGTCCCACCGGCGCCAATTCCTGGCTGAATAATATGTTTGGTAATCCCCAATCGTCGTCTTTGGATCCCAGCAATTTCCTACCCTTCACTGAGAGGATGAACATAAAACAGAGGATTCTGAACTCACTGATGAGCACCTTCGAGCGATTGACCTACAAGTAGGAACTATCTTAAGTAACTCTAAACTAATGGGATATTTAAATATAATATGAAAGATGTTAGCTAAACAAAAGCATGTTTGTGTTAGCTACTCATCATTAACCTAAAATGTATATTATACCTCTGTGATTATTCACTTTCCATTATTTTCGCAGCTTTTTCCAACTGATCTCCCAGCAGTCGGTGTACACCAATCACTTCGAGCTGCTCGTCAAGGAACTACCGCTCTACAGAGATCTCACAAAGAACCTGAGCCTGGCCTTGATCAACTCCCATCCTGGTTTGCATTATCCACGTGCCTATTTGCCAAATATGGTGGAGGTGGGCGGTCTGCACTTGAATCACTCAAATGAACTCCAACTGCCAAAGGTATGTTGAAAATGGCTAAACATTCCTAATCACTAATGCTGTTTATTTTTAGCATCTTCTGTCGTTTATGGAATCTGCGCCGAGTGGGGTTATCTATTTCAGTCTGGGAGCCGATGTGCAAACTGCTCAGTTGCCTCAGGAAAAGTTAGCCATCATTCTCGATGTCTTTGACCACCTCAAGGAGTTCCACTTCCTATTGAAATGGGAAAAGGAAGAGTTCGCAGTGGACCAAGTTCTGCCCGAAAACGTGATGATTGCAGATTGGTGGCCACAGCAAGCGATCCTGCACCATCCGCAGGTCAAGATGTTCGTTAGTAGCTGCGGACAGCTGAGCGTCTGGGAATCGATAAATGGACAAAAGCCCATTCTTGCCATACCTATATTGGCCGAACAGGAGGTGATGGCCAAGCGCTTGCAGCTTCACGGAGTTTCCCTGACTGTTGGCTACGACTCCATGGCATATGATTCCCTGCTGCACGCGATAAGACAACTCACTCTAAATACCAGCTATGTGGAGAAGTTGGCTGAACTCAATGAGCGGCTGATTAGCAGGGATTCCTCGCCAGCCAAAAAAGCAGTACGAAAGATTCAGCTCATATTGGACTCTGGAGGAGCTGATTTCCTTAAATCCCACGCCCACACTTTGAATTTTTGGCGTGCAGAGGGTGTGGATGTACTGCTCATAATAACCGTTGGCTTTTGTGGAATTTTAACCATACCCTTTCTGGCCATTTGCATTATACTTAGAAAGTCCTACCACAGCCAAGCGGAGCAGGATCAAAAGCCCTACAGAACCAACCTAAAAGTGGTTGGAAGAGTTCACAGCTACGGTGAGCAGAGCAGTTGTAGATCTGCCAAGGGAACGGAGTCTCTAAGGAGAACGCGATCGGCCCAATCTTTATCGGCTCGTTCGAGCTCATCGAGCATGAGTTCCACCACGGCGACTAGTCCTTCGACAGCGTCCACGACGCCGCTGGACCTGACACCACCTCCAATTCAACTACTCGGACAGGTGCCGCCATTGCAGCTGTACGTGACTCAGCAGCGCATATACTCAGGCGATCGAAATACATCACAAGAAGGCAACGCGGAACAAAGGTTCCCTTAACTATATATCTCCCGACGAAACCTATAACTAAAGATTACGGTGGGGTGAATGGAAAGGATTTTAGTCCCGTTTTATAGTCTCATGATGGGCCTAGTGTGTAAACAGTAAGATAGCAGAGAATATAGAGTTTTCAATCTGGTAAACGTTGGGATGGTAAAACGGGGCTTAGGCTAGGAAATAGACGTTGTACAATCGAAAATTTGGCAATTGACATCGAGTTGATAATGTTGCGTGCTCAATTATGGCCGATTTCTTAATGTTACCTTAAGCGTTATACTTTTAAACTTTGGATTGTTCAACGATTACATTCTGAATACCTTAATCCGTTTCAAAAAGTTGATCCAACCGTAACTAACCCTACTTATATAAATATCGTCTAATGGTAAGTGTGATTTTTTGTTAATAATTGTGGATATGTGAAAGAATATTCTGGTTTTATATTTGGATAAGTTTTAAATGTTATAAATTGTACATATTTTGAATAATTTTACTGTGTAGAAACGAAAGTTTCGATTTTAAATAGAGGATATTTATACCAACCAAGTATAACCATACATTGGGTATTTTAAATTGATTTAATTTTTCTGATATTATTATCAGAGCCTTTTGCCGCTAACCCTTTCAATTAATATTTCTATTCAAAGACTGACAACTACTTTCGTATACCCCGTAAAAGACAAGGTTAAGCTTAAAAACAATAAATGCGGTTAAACTGCAAAGGTTCAGCTCAAAAATGCATAAAATATCCTATTGTTAGCTTCAAACTGAAATGAACAGCTTATGGTAATTGAATAAATTTTGTACAATGAAAAAACTTTTTGCAGTTTTCAATTCGGTTTAGTTTGTTTGCAATACTTTAGATTAAGAATATTTTGTAAAGCCATGTATGAATTGTTAAATAAAATATTAAATAATCCCCAGATCTGAATTTTGTTTCCCCTTCTAGCGGGTATAAAGAAGTTTAATCAAGATTTTGAAACGAAGTTTAGGTGTAGTTTCTGACCATTAAAGGATATGTATTCTTTATTAATATCACTAGACCATTCGACACAGCCTTGCCTATCTGCCCGTCTGGCTAAATATCTTTAGTGAGCTCAGCTTCGTCATATGTGCACTCAAAACAAGTTTAAATATATATATTTAAATATATTATACATATACATTATATACAGGGTCAATCTGGTATTAAAAGTATTTTAATAAACAGATGATTTTAATATCATAATATGGTTCTTTCTTTCTTTCAAAAAATTTCGTTCCTGACTTTTAAACACTAATCTTGTAACAACATATAATTTGTTCAAAAGTTTAAGTTATTAAATTTTACTCTTCCATAAAAAATCATAAATATGTCAGATAATTTCAAAGATAGTGACTTCATTGAGTTAGAAAGATGCATAAACAAATCAATATATCTTCCTAACCGAAATATTAAATCTATTATAGTAAATTACTTGATATTTTATATTTAATTTGGTCGGATCTTTGTTTCAATTCTCTTTAAAATTCAATTTAAGGTC